GCATATCGCCCAATCTTGGCCGACATCATCGCATGCTTCTGGTCTCGCTTCCTACGTGTAGCCCGAGCCAACCGGCGGCCACAAGAGAGGTCGATACCCAAGAAGCCAGCTTGGCTTTGAAGAGTGATCGTAACACCACTCCGTCTCAGCACTGCCTTGCAAATCCACCGTGCGTCAGCCAGATGCGTGCATACCACCACTGATTTCGGTGATACCTTCAGCTGGTTGCAAGCAAGAGCGGAACACGTGTCTAGTATACAATCCCGCAACTGAGTACGCACCGCTGCACGGGAGCCGCGAACCTGCTGGGAGAGATCATCAATCCATATCCATGACTGACCTGGGGATGAGCAGTGACCACCCCGCGCAGGACAAAGTGCGCCACGGTTCGACCGAACCTCGTTCCCGACCGAAGGCCCTGCACGATGCCCCTCGTCGGCTGAAAGGGCGCCGACGACGCGCCAAGCTGACTCAAAACCCTGGCCGAGACACATTGCAACAATTCGAGGTATAAAATCCTGGGCGGGAACTGCATCCGAAGAGCGCATTTGACAAGACAAGGCCATTCTATTGAACCATCGAAGGAAAAAATATCGCAGAGCCTATGCCCAACTTCCACTTTAAGTTTACAACCGACTTCTTCCTGCACAGCTCTAAGATACGCCCCGCGGAGGCTTGAATTGCCCGCTGCTGCTGCATCCCACCCCTCCTCGGTCTCGGCCGACCAGTCTCGCACCAGGGGTTCCCTGATGAGAGACCACAAGCGTCCGAGGAGGGGGACCAGACCAATGATCCGATCGCCTGTAGATTTCTTGGGGAGCATCCTCCCCAAGATAAGTAGCAGCTGTGCAGGCCAGCAGAGACTCTGCTCACATGCTTCGAAGATCAACGCGAGCTCCGCCAGCGCGCAGTCAGGCAATCGCCCCAAGTCGATCGGTGTGACGAAGTCCACGCCCATGCCTGTACCTGGACGCATCCTCCGTAGAGCTCGACGGACTTCCTCCACCGTGATGCTGGGTAGCGGGTCGTCCTCCGCCGCCGCTTGCACCTCGGCGAAAGCCTCAAAGACCTCATCCTCCACCAAGGTAGTTGGAGCCCAGAGCCGATGCCAGCGCCGAGCCTTAGCATCGATGAGGTCCTTCGGGTGGTAGAGGGTCACTCCCTCGTGCTCCATCTCGTCCGACGGCTGAGGGAGTGGGTTGAGAGACTTATGCAGGCGTCCCAACGACTCCTTGTCCTCCACAAAATCCTTGAACTCCGATAAAGATTCCTGGATCGCCCGCCGTTGACTGCGAGCACTGACCTTCTTTGCCGCAAGCTCAAAATACGCCATCTCACGGTCGTCAGCCGAACCGATATTGTGCAAGAAATGGAGCCAGTCATCCCAGGAACGATCTTCGGACTCCAGAAGAACTCTCTGTGCCTGGCATGGTCGAACATCCAAGTGACGGCGACAAGATTGGATATACTTCCGAACCTGGCTGGCTCCACTCTACTTCTGCCGATGGTGGTGGATACCGCGTAGTAGCGTGTACAACTGCGCCCACCAACAACTGATAGCGTTACGAACTGGCGTCACTCGCGTCTTGGTCGTCATTCGCATAGGCTGGACAGAGGAACTGCACTCCACCAGCCCGACGTGGTCCCGCGGGGACCTGGGCGCCATGGTGACATGTAAAAGCATTCTCGACAGACGTGATCCACGAAGAGTAAAATCCTGAAACAGCCGCAATCAAATCAGGTTTGAGCCTAAAGGCTACGGAATCACGCAAAGCAGGAGCAAGGGACTGAAGACGGGCAGACCCCGAGACAAATCCTACTCCTTCCCGACACCGAGACCAGGCATCCTCGGGAATACGGAAACTAGGCCTAGCTTCAGCCTGAGACTGCGCTCCTCCAGAGCTGTCAGGACCCAACTCTCGAGAAGGAGCCAGGGTCTCGCGGTGCTGCGGAGGGCCAACCGCGGAGCTGCGAGCTGGTCCCGAGTCCACAGTCGAGCAGCCTCTACCAGCCTCCGAAGCCCCCTGGCTACCTTCGTGAAACACAGGGTTGGATGCAAGCACTGGTTGAGGGCCGACGGCGGCGACCGACGACGACGCCCCACAAAGAGGACCCCCACCAGTGCTGCGGTTAGATGCGTGCAGAGCGTGCCCGAGGGACGCGCCAGGACAAAAGTTGAGCTCATCAGCCCATGGGTCCTCTTCCTCAGGCCACTCGGAGTAGTCAAAACCATTCACTGCACACGGCAACTCAGAACCTACAGTATTAGACTCAGCTGCGGTCGGGGCGCTTTCACCCCCATCAGGCCCTTCCAGCAGCTGATCCCCTACGGATTGAGCACAATCCCCAAACAAGGTATTAATTTGGGCTAGTCTCTTATCGACAGCCGCCTGATGTTGAATCTGTCTACGCGCCTTAGCAATGCTAGATTTTGAGCCCGAAGCGGGGGCCATCGTGGGCCTCGGGACCTGAGGGAGCTTCCCAGGGGCTTCCATGACCCTCGTGATGAGCTGCCCCCCGCTGCCTCTAAGAGCGAGGTGCAGCCCGATGCGGGGTCCCCAGGGCACCGAGACCATAGGCTGCAAATCGACAACAAACGGGCGGGCCGACTCACTACACATGAGGTAGTCGATGTGGGTACCAGCAGCTAGTTTGCACGTAGACTGAATGTCTGCTTGAACGATGAAACCTCCGATTTTTTCCACAAGACCAGACTTCCGAAGCTCCTGCACACTCATGTTCCAGTCGCCTATGACTGCCCAAGGGAGCTGCAAAGCAAACTGAAAGCCAGCAAGCCGTCGAAATCGGCCTATGTTGAGACCCCGCATGCCCAAACAGGAATGGGCGTAGAAAGTCACCAGCACGATGGAATACCCCTTGCAATGGACAACTTGCGCAGCAAAGCCATCCGTGCACTTGTGCCCTGGTGCCTGCAGACGTGAGCCTGCATTCTTCAGAGCAGCAACTCGATGCACTTGCAGATGCCGACGGGACATCAGGAACTCACCTCCCTCATTGGCGTGCTCCTCCTGGCCCGTGGAACTCCTGCACCCCTCTCTCTGGCGAGCAGCATTGGCAATAAGACGATAGCCATTATCCTTGGCCTTCGCCTCCCACTTGCGAAGACCGCCGACGGAATGCATGTGCGTCTCGATAAGGGCGAACAGGTCGAACTGGGCAGTGGACTGCTCGACGAATGACCAAGCCTTATCCCCCCTGCAAGAGACATTAGAATAGAGTACGTGAATATTCTCCCCGTTGCGCTCGCCATCCGAAGAGCGAGCCCTTGCTGTAGAGGCAGACCCTAGTCAAGACTCCTCAGCAGTCCCCTTGCCTTTGCCGCTCTTGCCCTTCTGCGATAAGGCCTCTGCTGCCAGCTTGGCCTCCGACAGCCGCTTGGCCTCCGCCTCGATGACCTCCCGCTCCTGCGCAGAGCGGCCGCCACTCCCAGGAGTAGCAGCCGTGGCAGCAGGCGACGCCCCAGCTGCGGTGGGCGTCTGGGAGCGGGAGGTGTCGCCAGCGGGGGGCTGGCTCGCGGCCGCCGCGGCCCCCTGGGTTGGGGCAGCCTCCTCGTCTGGGGCCCCAGCCACGCGCTCGCCACCAGCGCCCGTGCGGCGCTTCTTGGCCAGCCTCGCCTCGATGGACTTCCTGAACTCCTCCATCTGCTTGAGCCAGGCCCGTACCTCGCTCTCCTTGGAGTCCATCTCAGCCTCTGTCGCCAGAAGCCGAGCACGGATGTCCTCCAAGCCTTCCTTCTCGTGAGTTTCACATTCCAAGTTCTCGAGCGAATCGAAGAAACCCTGGTCCCAGACTACCTGGAACAGCTTCCCGTTGCTCTTGTCCTGCTCCTTAGCGGTCGCCATCTCGGCCTCCACGCCCTCGGCGTGGGCCAAGGCTCGCGCGGCAGATCGCCGCGCGCAGAGAGCCTCCGCCAGAGACGTGGCAGTGACCTGCTCCTTGCTCTCCGCGGCCTCGACCGCCTTGCGCAGTCTCACCAGGTTCGCCACGGCCTGGTTGGGCTTGTGATCAGCATCTCGGTAGACGCCGTCGGCCCTCCTGAGGGCCTCCACTGCCGAGGTGGGCTCCGAGGCCTTGGCCAGCAGCGCCGCCTCGTCGAGCTTCTTAACCTGCTCCTGCAGCGCTACCTTCAGGTCACCGTCGGCAGCCTCAGCCGCTCTCTGGAGCAGCGTCGATACTTCATCCTTGCTGTGGTCGGGGCCACGGCCCTTGCCACCCGCCTTCCCGCGCTTGCCTCGGCCCGCTCCAGGCTGAGGGGACTGGCTGCGCGAGCGGAGGATCCCCTTGGGATGCACCAACGAGGCGTCCCCCTTCCAATCGTTCACCACCTGATCCGTCGACACAGAATCTGCAAAACGTACTGCACGACCGCGAGCCTTGCACAGTTTCACGGTGGAGCCGCAATTCATGCAGAAACCCATATGTTCCTCTAGCACATCGTTGTACTCGCACTGTCCACACTTGCTGCAGCGGGACCAGGAACGACGAGCGACGGTGCCAGCCATGACTGAAAGTTCTCTCCTGCTTTGGTCGATGCCACACTCTCCCACGGCAGGGGGTGTGGTCAGAGTTCCTCAAGCGCTACGTGAAAGCACAGGAGAATGAGCCCCGCCAAAATGGTTCGGGCCAAAGTGGCTTGATGAGGAGGAGGAGGAGGAGGAGGAGGAGGAAAAGGAGGAGGAGGAGGAGGAGGAAAAGGAGGAGGAGAGGGCGGAGGAGGAGGAGGCGGAGGTAGGAGGAGGAGGGAGGAGGAGGAGGAGGCGGAGGAGGGGGAGGGAAGGGAGGGAGGGCGGAGGGAGGGCCGCGGCCCGCCGCGGCCCTGCCCCCGCGGGCGCCGCGCGGTGGTGCCAAGGGGCGGGGGGCTGCCCGTGGCCACGCGCTCTGTGGCCACCCGGGGGGGGGGGCTCCCGTGCCGGCTTTAGGAGGAGGAGGAGGAGGAGGAGGAGGAGGAGGAGGAGGAGGAGGAGGAGGAAGAGGAGAGCAGCAGCGAGGGGAGCGAGGGCTGGCGGCGAGCGAGGGGGAGGAAGGGCCACCTGCGAGCCCTGTCCCTACCCCCCCACGAGTTCTGAGGGGGAGGGTGGGGTTCACTTCGTTAGGGAGCTGCCGAGCGGAGTGAACCCCAGCCTCCCCCGCAGAGATCGTGGGGGGTAGGGGTAGGGTTCGCATGTGGCCCCCTAAAGCTTGCTGTCTCTTGCGAGCCAGCGCGAATCGGCGCCAGATCGCCGCTGGATCGGCGCCAGATCGGCGCTGGATCGGCGCTGGATCTGCGCTGGATCGGCGCCGGATCGGCGCTGGATCGGCGCTGGATCGGCGCCAGAACGCCGGATGCCCATGGATCTCCAGACGCTGGCGCGCGCCAGGGCCCTCGAGAGGCAGAGTTCCGAGGGCGCACCGGGGTCCCATGGGTTACCACCGAAGCCACCGCTTGGGGGGTCGCGATTCGGGGAAACTTAGGACGAGAGCAATGTCATGATACGATTGGCTCCGAAAAGAGTTCCGGGAACTGCTGGGTTGCTGGCCACCCTCGGGAATGTTGTGTGTGGCCGCTCGTCCCTGGTCGCGCCAGCATCAAGAGAACCTGGAGATCTCAGAATGCATCATTATCATGGCATCTCACTCCTCGGAGCATTGGCAGGCAGCGGACGTGGATATGTGTGGCCACCCAGGGCCCGACTTAATCCACATCCACTGCCTGCCAAGGCCCCCGAATCGTCGATCCCCCAGGCAGCGGCCATGGATAAGTGCCCACCTCGGAGGACGCCAAAGGTCCATGCCGCCCAGAAGGGTTCCGAGCAGGTGGGGTCGGGGGATGGCGCAGAGTCGCCGACGCATCGGAGGTGCGGCGCGATTCGGAGCCCGATGTTCCTCATCCTGAACGAACGAACGAACGCCACTACAGCGAAGGCTGTCCCAACTCAGGGGATGGGCGAGTAGCGCCGCAGCGCCCGGTACGTATGCTCGACGACACATTAAGTTGTGATGATGGATGTCGTTGTCTCGAAGGATGGTGTACCAATTCTCTAGCGTAGCTTGGAAACCGTGGTAGACATCGTGGCGTCGTGGATGCATCGCCGATGCCTAGGCGATGCACTGAGATTGTCTGAGCCCAGCGGCTCCGCCCGCACCTGGACGGCCTCCACAAGCACGCCTGAACCAGGCCTGGCCAGGCTCATTAAATGGACTAATGGACTTAGGGACACACAAATCCGCCGATCCGGTTTCTGAGAGCGTGGACTTGAGCTCGCTCAAGCTTCGCTCTGCAGGGGGGGGGTACGTTATTTCCGACGTCATTTCCATCGTTTTTCGGTACACGGGGATATTTCCGACGTCATTTCCGACGTTGTTCGGTACCCGGGGACAGGGGGGTATAGAAAACTCCACTTCCGGAGCCCCGACCGCCCAAGACAGCCCAAGAGGAAGCCAAGAGAGGCCCCAGAGGCCCCCTAGACAATGCAAGAGGGCCCCGAATCGCCGAAACATCGCTCGAACCGCCCAAGATGCCCCGAAGACAGTTCCAGAAACCTCCAAGAGGTCCCCAGGATCCCTCACGACACTTCCCAAGAATGCCCAAAGACTGACAAATAGACCCATTCCCTTGGGAAAAAATACATTTTCGGCATATTCGTTTCTTGGGCCTTCACAATGTCCAAGACGGCTCACTCTCACCCCCCCCGGATCGGCGGCACTGGCCGGAGGCCAGCCCAATAAAACGATACAAATCCAAGGTTTCCCCATATTTTCCCACAGTTTCTGGGTCTTCGTCTTCCCCTCCACCTCCCACACTTTCCCACATCTTCCTGGGAGTCGACGATTAATTGTGTCTGTGTGTTTTCCCCCCTCCTGAGGCCCCGCCTTCCTGTGCCCTGTCTCCCTAATAAAAGCTGTGCGTAGCCCGTCTAGCTTTTAGCGGAAGAGGTTCGCTCTCGCCCCGCAGATCAAAAGTGTTTCCCCCCTCCTGACCCATGCCGGGCCAGGGGTGGGCGTTCCTACCAACTGGGGCTGGGACGTATGGACTGCGCGCGGGCTGAAAATGGGCCCGGCACGGATCGATGCGGGCAGATGCCTGTGGGTTCTTGCCACGTCGGCACGGGCTCTGGTCACCGTCCCCGCGCAAGCGGCTCATCAGGAGAGGCTGAGTCCAGGCAGACAAGTCCATACGGAGACCAATAGAAGCAGAGAAACGCCATAAACTAAAACTTTTGGCGCTCCGCGCGGACCTCTTGGATCTGCGGTGGGTCCCCCTCCCTGGCGCGCGGAGAGCGCGCCAGGGGCGGGCGGCGCCAGAGGCGCCGCCAGGGGGCCCCAGGCGCCGGTCCAAGAAACCCGCGCGGAGCGCCAAAAGTTTATGTTTGCGGCGTTTCCTCCTTCCTCGATGTTCGGAGACCAAGCGCTCCGTATGGACTTACTCGGTCTGGACTTGGCTCGGGGGCGGCCAAGAGGGGGGCGTCCAAGAGGGGGGGGGGGGCGCAGATCATGGCCGGCGGCATGCGCGCGGCCCAGGGGGGGGGGCCGGGGACGTATTGAAACCAGGAGAGGCGCCGTGAAATATGGGGAGACATCGTGGCCCACGCCATGAAATTCAGAGAGAGAGAGAGAGATATCATGGCCCCGCCATGCCATCCACCCCCTCCCCTTGTCCTCACACTCCTCTTGGCCGCCCCCGATTGGCACCCGTATGGACATAACTGAAGCAGCCCCAGGACACACAAATAAATACACACAAATAAAAAGATTACCCATATTTCCCCATATCTTCTGGGTTTTCGTCTTCCCGCCCAATTCCCATATCTTACTCCATTTTCCTTGGAATCGACGATGAATTGTGCCTGTGTGTTTTTTCCCCTCCTGGCATAACTCGGTCTGGCCTTGGCATCCTCGAGCTCGGCCCGGAGCGAGCGGCCGGGGCGCCCCGGAGCTGCCAGGGCCTCCCCGGAGGACGGGGCGGCGCCCGCCGGTCGTGAGGACCTCGCCCTGCGGGTTTCGCTCTCTGCGTGGGCCTCGGGGCGGCCTGAGTAGCGGCCCATCCTAAGCCCAGATGACAACTTCTCCTCCTCCTCTCCTCCTCCTCCTCCTCCTCCTCGTCCTCCTCCTCCTCCTCCTCCTCCTCCTCCTCCTCCTCCTCCTCCTCCTCCTCCTCTTACTATCTTATCATAATTAGTATGTGTCTTATTCATCAGTATTCTTAGTCTTCTTCATAATATCAGTATTAATATTATTCTTCTGAGTAGTAGTACGATTATTAGTATTATGATTATGCGTAGTCTTCTTATTCGTAGTTTTATATCATTCGTCTCGTTAGTATGATTAGCATTAGTATTAGTATTGCTATCAGTGTTGTTATTAGTAGTATGTTTCGTCTGCGCCTTCTTCTTCGTATTCAAAGTATTAGGTATATGATTGTTCGTAGTATTCGTCTTGTTCGTATTATTCGCCTTCTTCTGCTCCTTCTGATTATCGTTAGTCTTATTATGATTAGTCGTCTTCTTGTCCTTCTAATTATTCGTATTATTCTTCTTATTATTCCTCCTCCTCCTCCTCCTCCTCCTGCTCCGCATCCTCATCCGCATCCATCCTCCTCCTCCTCCCCCTCCCTCTCCTCCTCCTCCTCCTCCTCCTCCTCCTGCTCCTCCTCCTCCTCTTCCTCCACCTCCACCTCCTCCTCGTCCTCCTCCTCCTCCCTCCTCCTCCTCCTCCTCTTCTTCTTATTGTTAGTATTACTATTAGTAGTATGCTTCTCCTTCGTCTTCTTATTATTCGCCGTCTTATTACTATCACTGCTAACTAACAATAGTATTATTATTCGTAATAATAATCTTATGTGTTTAACAGTATTACTAGTCTTCTTCATAGTCTCGTTGATAGTGTTACTCGTCTTCTGAATAGTGGTAGTACTGTTCGTAGTGTGAGTATGTCTTATTCGTAGTAGTAGTATCATTTGTCGTATTAGCATGATTAGCATTATTGGTATTAGTGTGATCAGTGTTCTTCGTAGTAATAGGATTCGTCTATGTCTTCTTCCTCGTATTCATATTAGTGATATCATTAGTCGTAGTATTCGTCTTGTTCGTAGCGTACACCTCCTTATGCGTATTCGTATTATTGTTAGTTTTGTTATGATGAGTCGTCTCCTTGCCCTTATTAATATTATGATTATTCTGTTTCGTCCTCCTCATCATCCTCCTCCTCATCCTCTTCCTCCTCATCCTCCTCCTCCTCCTCCTCCTCCTCCTCCCCCTCCCTCCCCCCCCCATCCTCCTCCTCCTCCTCCCTCCTCCTCCTCCTCCTCCTCGTCCCCGCCTCCTCCTCCTCTCCCTCCTCCTGCTCATGCTCCCTGCTCCTGCTCCTCCTCCTCCTCCTCCTCCTCTTCCTCCTCCTCCTCATCCTCCTCTCATCATCATCATCTCCTCCTCATCCTCCTTCTCCTCCTCTTCCTGCTGCTCCTCCTCCTCCCTCCTCCTCCTCCTCCTCCTCCTCCTCCTCCTCTCCTCCTCCTCCTCCGTGCCTCCTCTTCCTCCTCCTCTCAGCCTCCTCCTCCTCCTCCTCCTCCTCCTCTCCTCCTCCTCCTCCTCCTCCTCCTCCTCCTCCTCTTCCGCCTCGTCCTCCTCGGCCTCCTCCTCCGCCTCCTCGTCCTCCTCCTCTCCTCCTCCTCCTCCTCCTCCTCCTCCTCCTCCTCCTCCTCCTCCTCCTCCTCCGCCTCCTCCTGCTCTTCCTCCTCCTCCTCCGCCTCCTCCTCCTCCTCCTCCTCCTCCTCCTCCCTCCTCCTCCTCCTCCTCCTCCTCCTCCCTCCTCCTCCTCCTCCTCCTCCTCCTCCTCCTCCTCCTCCTCCTCCTCCTCCTCCTCCTCCTCCTCCCTCCTCATCCTCCTCCTCCTCCTCCCTCCTCCTCCTCCTCCTCCTCCTCCTCCCCCCCCAAGGCGGATAAAAGTTCGGTGGCAACTCATAGGAGCCTTCCATGCCCTCTTGTTGGCTCTTACGAATCGACCCTAATCGACGCTAGTCGACGCAAAAACGACGCTAATCGACGCTGGGCAACTCTATCGGCACCTCTCGTCGACTCCCAAACGCTAGTCAACGCTAAAGGCGGAATTAAGAGGGTATACCAGGCTCCCATGATCTGCTACCGAATAACATAGACCGGGTTCGGGCCCGCCCAGGTAATATACCAAACAAAAGCCAACGCACCACGACCCTTGAAGTAGGACGGCGCTCGAAGCAGATCGGGATCTGGGATCCCCCAAATACCCACTCTCAACGACCACCGAGTGAGACTCAAACGTGAAACGCCAGCGCCCGCGCTGCCGCCGCGCTGCGGCGGCAGGACACTGCGGTGGTCGGCGTCCTCCTCGCGGAGCCTCCGAGTTCCCCAAGGGCGCCAGCGGCCATCGGCCGCTGGCCGCCCCAGCGGGGCCAGCCTAACCTACGACAGCTGGTGGCCAGGCGCGCTCACGCGGCGCGACTGGTTCGCCAGCTCGATCTTCCAGACCTGAGAGAAGCGGGAGGGTGAGGAGACGGTGGGGAGGAGGAAGGGGGGATGGGAGGAGGAGCAAGAGGAGCAGAGTGAGCACAGCACACTGCCACCGAGGCAGCTGTACATCCTCCCGTGCCAAGCCATCATGTGTGTAAGTCAATTCAGACGCCTCTGTGTCACTACGGCAAACGCCCGCTGGAAAGGTGAGAGGATCGTGGACCTGCATGGTGATAACCCTCTGCATTGCATCTTCATACCTACATCAAAAGCATCAACAACCATGTCAATATTCAACAGCGTATCAATGCATCCATGTACGGTATGACAGAATTGAAAATGAATGCGCACAAGGCATGTGAACGAATTGCCCCTCGCCAAATCCCTTTTCGTCCTGGTGAGCCCTGTACAGTCGGTCTGTGTTGGAGGGGGAGGCCCCAGTCAACCGCACGGCGGGGATCGTCCGGGCGTCGTCTGCTCCAAAAGCGATCCCAAGCCCGCCGAACATTGCTCAAGATGGCCTCCGAGGTGGCGCAGGATGGTCTCGAGCTTCGCCTTTACCTGCCTCCAGCCCCTGGTCCAGAGGCGCCGATACGTCACGCGGCGGCCAGAGTTGATCAAAATGCTCTTCAAGAATGAAGGGGCCCTTGGACACACAAATAAATACACAAATAACAGGATTCCCTATATTTTCCTATATCTTCTGGGCTTTTGTCTTCCCCCCCACTTCCCATAGTTTCCCATACTTTCCTGGAAGTCGACGATTAATTGTGTCTGTGTGTCTCTTCCCTCCTGAAAGAACGCCCCGACGATGCCAACCTCGATGTCTACCAAGAAGTCCTGGCCTGGCTGCCCGTGGCGGCTCGCTCCGCCGCCAGGGCGCTCTCAAAAAGGCCGGCGAGAGGCCACGCGCAGCGCGCGCGGGGCCCGGGATGCTCACGGATACGGCTCGAGGTCCGTTTGCAGGAGGAGGGGGGGGTTAAGGAGGGGGAGGAGGGGGAGGGTGAGGAGGGGGAGGGGGAGGAGGAGGAGGAGGAGAGGAGGAGGAGGAGAGGAGGAGGAGGAGGAGGAGGAGGAGGAGGAGGAGGAGGAGGAGAGGAGGAGGAGGAGGAGGAGGAGGAGGAAGAGGAGGAGAAGAAGAGGTGCGGTGAGGAGCAAACAGGCGGAGAAGGAGGAATAGTTCGAAACATGCTTGTGAAAAAAGAGGAAGAGGAGGAGGGAGAAGAGGAAGCAGGAGGAATCAGAAGAATAAGAGAAGTAATAAAAAGAATGATAAAAAATAGAAAACAAAAAAGAAGGAAGAGGAAGAGGAAGAAGCAGAGGAGGAGGAGGTGCGAGAAAACAAACAAAAACAACAACAACAAAAACAACAACAAAAAAAACAGACAGCTCGCCCCTTGGCCCCCCGCCAGCCCCACGCAAAGGGGCGAGCATATATACGGGCGCAGCACCGCGCTGGATGCGTAGCCGTCGGCTGGGCCAACCAAGCGCATGACGCATCGCGTGGCGGCTGGATGCCCGCGCCGAGCACAGATATTCTCGGTTACTCCCTCCTCCTTCTCCTCCTCCGCGGGCTTAAAACTGCCATCGAAATATCCTCACCCGCTGGCTTAAAACTACCACCGAAATATCCTCACCCGCGGGCTTAAAACTGCCACCGAAATATCCTCACCCGCTGGATCAAAGCAGCCACAGGAATATCCTCACCCGCTGGCTTAAAACTGCAACCGACATATCCTCACCCCCGGAAGTGAAACTGCCACCGAAATATCCTCACCCGCTGGCTTAAAACTGCCACCGAAATATCCTCAACCGCCGGCTTAAAACTGCCACCGAAATATCCTCACCCACTGGCTTAAAACTGATACCGAAATTTCCTAACCTGCTGGCTTAAAACTGCCACCGAAATATCCTCACCCGCGGAAATAAAACTGCCACCGAAATATCCTCACCCGCTTTCTTAAAGCCGCCACCGAAAAATCCTCACCCGCTGGGTTTAACTGCCAGCGGAATGTCCTC